GAGCTGGGCCCTGAGATACTTCCACAGGGTTAGGTCTCTCTTCCACCTCACTCCTTGGATCACTGTGCCATTGTTGTCCATCCCCACAGATTCACAGAGGCCGAAGTGATGGTGATGGGTGATGTGACCTATGGGGCTTGCTGTGTGGATGACTTTACTGCAAGGGCCCTGGGAGCTGACTTCCTGGTGCACTATGGCCACAGCTGCCTGGGTATGGCAGACCAGGACATCTGGACCCTGGCAGGGCTGGTAGGGAGGCAGGACTGCTCACTAATCTCCATCACAGTGCTTTATCCTGCTTGCAGCCATGAGGTCCCTCCTGGTTTCTGGGATGGCCTCAGCCTTCCTGCTCTGCAGGTGGATCTTTCCTTTGGATTTGGTTCCCTTGGAAACCATGCTGTTGTCCCAGATGCGGGTGTTTGAAAGGCTGTTGGTGGTATAGCAGGCAGCCCACCCCCCCAGCCCTGTCTGAGTGACCCAGGAGGAGCTTCTAATGCGCCTGTGATTCCCCCCTCCCCCACCACTTCTTTCTACCCCCAGCTTGCAGCCACTGGTCCTGGCTGCTCAGAGACCTTGGCCTGCGCCTGGCCCTCTGCCCATGCTGCCTTCCAAAACAGTCTCCTGAACTCTTCTCTTCTCCCAGTTCCCATGGACACCTCTGCCCAAGACTTTCGGGTGCTATATGTCTTTGTGGACATCCTGATAGACACTACCCACCTATTGGACTCTATCCGTTTCACCTTTCCCCCAGCCAGTGCCCTTGCCCTGGTCAGCACCATACAGTTTGTGTCAACCTTGCAGGTAAGTAGACAAACAGCCAGTTTATTCTTCAGTCCCCAGGCCAGGTGCTGCAGGCTGGTCCTCCTGCCCTGGCTGTCCCTCCCCATCTACTTGCTTTCCTTCTCGTTTTCCCTACAGGCAGTTGCCCAGGAGCTGAAAGCTGAGTATCGTGTGAGTGTCCCACAGTGCAAACCCCTGTCCCCTGGGGAGATTCTGGGCTGCACGTCCCCCTACCTGCCCAAAGAGGTGGAGGCTGTTGTGTAAGTGAAAAATTGTACAGACATGAGAAATGTACCCTAGGAGTCTAAAACTCCTTAATTATTTGTTCAAGGTCACCCTGCAAGATGGGACCAAATAGGGTTTCAGGTTTTCTGTCTCCCCCACCAGTGCTCTGTCTACCATCCAGAAGGCTATGCTATGCCCAGGGTGGGGCAGGAATCAGAGGGCCTGATGGGGGGATAAGGGTGGGCTAGAAATGGTGGGTATATAATTGGAGAAGATGGATGGGTACATTCAGGCTGTAGCCCCATTAATTTAGCATCCGGACAGCTAACAAGCAGGAGCAGTGTGTCTCCTGCTGCCTAATTATTTTAGGTAATGGAAATGCTTAATGTTGTGTGAATGCAGCCAGCCTCAGAGCCAACAGCTCCCGGCTGGGACTAGGGAGGGGAGTCCCATTCCTAGCTAATGGCAGGAAAGGAGGCAGGGGCACTCCTCTGACTTAGCCCCACCTTTGTGGCTGCTGATGCTGGTTCCACAGGCCTTGATGCACCCACACAGACAGGCCAATAGACCCATATCAGAGCCTCCCCCAGCCCAGACCTGGCAGTTCTGCTTCCCAGGCAACATTTCCCTTGTGCCTGTGCCTGCATAACTGAGCTCACAGATGCCTACTCTTGGGGGCTTCGATGTATGTGCTGGAGGGAGGGACACCCTGAGTGCTGGCCATTCATCAAAATTCAGTGTGGTCTCCTAGAGAAGGAGCTGCCATTGCAGGTTGTCTTCCATGCTCTGCCCTCTTCGCGTTCTGCGAAGGTACTGTTAGAGGTAGCATCCCCCAGGGCATGCTGGGTACAGCCTCCTGATACGTAAGCCTAGAGTTGAGTCCTGGATACACTGCTTCATAGCTATATGACTTGGGCAAGTTTTTTTTTTTTCTTTTAAATATGTTTTAATTGATTTTAGAGAGGGAGGGAGGGACAGGGAGAGGGAGAGGGAGAAACATCAATTGGCTGCCTCCTGCATGCCCCCTACTGGGGACTGAGCCTACAACCTAGGCATGTGCCCTGACCAGGAATCAAACCGTGGCCTTTTGGTTTATGGGATGACACTCAACCAACTGAGCCACACTAGCCAGGGCTGGGCAAATTTCTTAACATCCCTGAACCTCAGCTGTATCTTGTAAAATGGGAACACTATAGGTAGCTTGGAGGATTATCTGTTAGGACTGAGTGAAGTCATACATGCCAGGTGCTTAGCCCAGGCCCAGTGCACAGCAGATATAAGTCCAATAAACAGAATATATTGTTACAACTCAGTATCTGGACTCAAGAGCTAGTTAGGGCAGAGAGTAGCCAGTGTGTACCCTGATACCTCATTTACAGCATAAATGTCACCTGAACACTACTTCCCTTGTCTGTATTGAGCGAGGGAGAATCTCCCCCACCTCCAGTTTAGGATCTCTATAGCCTAGAGCAGCCTTACCTGGCCTCAGCTGTGCCTTTACCCTTCCACCAGAAGGTTGGGGGTTGGCAGTGTTCTTAGATTCTACATTACATAACTAGAGGGGCTTTACTGTCATCCAATTCAAACTCCTTGTTTTACGTGTGAGAAAACCAAGACCTTGGGAGGTGAAATGACTTGTCCCAGTTCACACACAGCTAGCCAAGAAATCAGTCTTCTGTACCCTAAGCTAGTGCCTGCTTCTTCTGCTGTCCCACCCACACTTACCACAAACCCCCCTTTTTACCCCCCTGCAGATATCTTGGAGATGGCCGCTTCCATCTGGAGTCTGTCATGATTGCCAACCCCAGTGTCCCTGCTTACCGGTATGGGCTGAGCTGGACCAAACAGCTGGGGAGAGGGTGGAATTCTCTGCCACTGAGGCCCTCAATCAGCCAGACCCTCCTCATTCTTTGGCCACTTAACAGCCCTCAGCCCTCTAAACATCTGAGGTACTTGGGTCCTGAATCTGGGTATCAAACCCAGAGCTGCAGCTGCATAGTACTCACCCATCCCCCAAGGATTCACACAGATATCCTAAAACCCTCTGCCACTCTTGCCTGCTCCTGCTTTGGGACTGATCTTCCCAATGACAACCCATGCTCTTGTCTCTGTTCCTGATTACCTGCATGGAGCCTGAAGGTTCAGACCAAGGTTCAGCCTGAAGGTTCAGAGCCTGAGTCAGGGAGCCCAAGTCCCACAAGTGACTGTCGCCATGACTATGACAGCTTCTTTTCCAGATACGACCCATACAGCAAAGTCTTATCCAGAGAACACTATGACCACCAGCGAATGCAGACTAACCGCCAAGAAGCCATAGCCACTGCACGCTCAGCTAAATCCTGGGGCCTTATCCTCGGCACTTTGGGCCGCCAGGGCAGCCCCAAGATTCTGGAGGTCAGAGGGCTTGGGATGGCCTCTGGAGGAAGGGACTGACTGGGAAACCCAGCAGGGAAAATCACTAGGCCAAAGAATTTAGCGTTGGCAGCTTGATCATGGTGACTCCAGCTCTGCCTCCCTCTACTGACAGCACCTGGAATCTAGGCTCCAAGCCTTGGGACTTCCCTTCGTGAGGCTGCTGCTCTCAGAGATCTTTCCCAGCAAGCTTAGTCTACTTCCTCGGGTAGATGTGTAAGTTTCTCCACCATACCTACCTAGCTATGATTGGCTAAAGAAGTTCAGAATCTGGGTCCTTCCCAGCACATATTGAGGGCTGGAGTCAATGGGAATTGCTTCCATGATCATAAACTTTTAATGTTTACAATGCATTCATCTAGCAGGGTCTACCATCTGGATTACAACCTATTTTGTCTGTCTTGGGGCTCTCAGGCAACTGCAACGTCATAGTGGTTCTGTATGAGATGAGATTGAGGGGTGCTTGGTTGGCATCTGCATTTTACCAGGCACGAAATTTGATTCTATCTAGGCCCTGCCCTATCTAGGCCCTGCTCTGGTCAGTGGAGGAAACGGGAGAAGACAAACACCACTATATTGTTATTCTAAACAGCAGTTAGGTCCCAGTCTTTTACTTTAGGAATTCATAGTAAGCATTCATGGGGTGTGTTGGGGCACAGTCATGTTCTTTAGCACGCTGCTCAGGAGAGGGCGTCTACCTCCCTTGGGTCTGATCTGACTTCCCTTCCCAGGTGGGTACAGGTGGCATGTCCCCGCCTCTCCATTGACTGGGGAACAGTCTTCCCCAAGCCACTGCTGACACCCTATGAGGTAATACCAACATTTGAGAGTGGACATTGCACCTGGTTTTGTCAAGGGAGGGATCTGAAGTGGAGTGGGGTAGGGGGGTTCACTTAGTTACAGCTGAGCCACTTCCTAGCTGAGTGGTCTTGGGCAAGTCTCTTAACCTCTTTGAGCCTGACACTTCCTCTGTGGTATGTTGTGGTATGTTCATAGGCCATTGTGAGGACTGGATGAAATAATCCTGGGGAGAAAAATGTTGGCAAATGTTATTGTGCGATTTCCCTCCCCTAGGCGGCGGTGGCCCTGAGGGACATTTCCTGGCAGCAGCCCTACCCCATGGACTTTTATGCGGGCAGCTCCTTGGGGCCATGGACAGTGAACCACGGACGAGACCAGGCACCCCGCAGGCCTGCGCTGGGGAAGGTAGGCAGGGACTCCGAGGTGGCAGGAGTGCTCGCTCCCTAGCGACGCGAGCCGAGGCCGCCACCATGCGGCTGCTACGGGAAATGCATGAGAGCGGGATGGAGGACGTCGCAGAGGTGGGACCCTGACCAGTGTACGACCTCAGGTGCAGGAGGGGTCCACGCGCCTTTCCCCAGCTGCGACTTGCGAGGGTTGCAACTGCAGAGATGAGGCGGAGGTGCCACTCGCTCCGTGAGCCGCTGCTGAGTCTCAGGTACCCGCCCAGCGTGGCCGCGCCTCACCCTTCGGCCCTCTCCCGGGAACGCTAGCTCGCCCGACGCCCGCCTTCTGGGTGGTGCCGGCACTTGGCTCCGCCCCCGCGCGACTCCACTTCCGCTCGGGGAAAGGCCGCTTCCGGCCTTTCCGGCGCGCAGCCCTGCACTATGGCGGCGCGGCAACCCCTGCGGGTGCTGTGCTTGGCGGGCTTCCGGCAGAGCGAGCGGGGCTTCCGCGAGAAGACGGGGGCGCTAAGGAAGGCCCTGCGGGGCCGCGCCGAGCTCGTGTGCCTCAGCGGCCCGCACCCGGTCGTGGACTCTGCGGGGGCCGGGCCGGAGTCCGGTGAGACGAGCTATGCCCCGGGAATGTGCCCCGAATCTTCTCTATCTTGCCTCGTGTCTGTAACACTCTTAAGCATACCCCCCCACTCAGCATCCTCACTCATTCCTCCCGCAGCCTTCTCTTTCATCCCAGCCTCCCATGTTTACACCGTGATTTGTTCGCGTGCCCCCCGCCCCTCCCGGTGCCCGCCCATCCATTCCCGCTCTTTTTCCCCCGGACTTCTCCCCCGTCAGTCGCCTCTCCCTTTCTTATTCCCAAACCCTCCCTTTCTCATTTATTTCCTTCTGCATTGCCCCTTGCTCTAACTCTACGCTTATGTGTGTAGGGTCCTGCCCTCCGGAGGAGCAGCCTCGAGGATGGTGGTTTTCAGAACCTGAGGCAGACGTATTCTCCGCACTGGAAGAGCCCACAGTGTGCAGAGGTCTGGAAGAAGCCCTGGCGACGGTGGCACAGGCACTGAACAAGCAGGGACCTTTCGATGGGCTCCTTGGTTTCAGCCAGGGAGCTGCGCTAGCAGCCCTTGTGTGTGCCCTTGGCCAAGCAGATGATCCCCGCTTCCCTTTGCCAAGGTTTATCATCTTGGTATCTGGTTTCTGTCCTCGGGGCCTTGGTCTCCAGGAATCCATCCTGCAGGGTCCCTTGTCAATGCCTTCACTCCATGTTTTTGGGGACACTGACCGTGTCATCCCCTCTCAGGAGAGTATGCAACTGGCTAGCCGATTCACTGGATCCATCACTCTCACCCACTCTGGTGGCCACTTCATTCCAGCAGCTGCACCCCAGCGCCAGGCCTACCTCAAGTTCTTGGACCAGTTTGCAGAGTGAAAGATCAGCAAATGCCTGGGCCTCCATATCCCCCTCCGCACCCCCAGTGGGGACACTGACTTTGGGGCAGCCTCTGTGATCCTTGCCCCTTGTTCCTACCCTGGGAGCTCCACTGCTGTTAGTGCTCTTCAGGGTCACCAGTTCTTAAAACTCAGATTACTCAAGAGAATGGGGAGCAGGACGCCTTAGTGGACTTTGACCATCACATCTGGTACCCAAACATGGAAAAGGTTAGTGGAGCCCTAAATGAGTGGAGGGTTTACATGGGAAAAGCAGAGGCTGGCACCACTGTGACTGCCACACAATAAAATGGTAATTTGAATTGTGAGCATATTTTTCCTGATTCAGAAAAAAACCAAAACCATAACAAATCTGGATATCCACACAGCCTCCAGGGCAGCACCATGCAGGGAGGTGTTTCCAGTTAGGAGCCCCCAGGAGAAGCTCATGGGTGTGTGTGTATACACATTTTTGGTGGAAGTCTTAAGTCCCAAGTTGAAGGAAAGGGGGCCTTGGTAGCTGAATCAGGGAAGAATTTACACCTGAGAAGTTCTGGGAAGGGATTACCTGACAAGGCTCTGCCTGGGCCATACTGAGTTGAGGCTTCCTCCATTCTGATCCTTTTGTCAAATCCTGGCTTCTTGTGTTCTCTGTTTTCTCCTCCATAACTGCCTTAGCTCCTCTGAACTATGAGTTCAAAGGGTGGGGTGGTGAGAAACCTTGGATGGAGACCAAAGACAGCACAGAAGAAACCCTTTTCCAAACTTGCCTCCATTTGCAGTTTCTGAGATTGATGCTACACTGTAGTGATCACAGCCAAGGCCTAAGCAGCCCATCTGGTTTGCAGTTGTTTTTAGGCACTCTAAAGCCTGCCTACTATAGCCATTTTGCCTACTTCCAGCGCCCCACCCTCTGCCCTCACTGCTCTCTGACTTCAGCTAGCTCTATCTCTGCAGGCTCAACAACTTGTTGCTTTTCTAGATCATAAAAGAACCTATCCTTCAAGCATGGTTGCCTCCAGGGACTTAATGGAGCAGAAATTAGGATTAGGGGATGCAGCACAAATACTCCAGCCCATCCTGACACAACCAGACTGATAGTCTTTAAATTACCATAAGTTCTGAGTTCTTCACTATAAATAACAGCTGTCCAAGATAATTTTGTTTTTAAAGCTGTAGTTACTTCCCTAGACAGACCCAGTTTACTGGGTTAGGACCTTTACTGCAGAAAGTGGGAGTGGGGAGGAAGTTCTTTGCTATAGTCTGCCTCTTGCTCTTGGTTTTTAAAGGGGTCTTTTTCTTGGCAAAAGGTGAATACTCTGAAATGGACTGAATTACTCCTACAGACCTGCTGGATTTGGCCCACAGCATTTTAGAAAAAAATGGATTTATGGTATTTAAAGTTTTAGGAATTTCACACCAATATTCAGATTCCTGGCTTCTCTGGAAATAAGTGGTTCAAAATGGAATGCAGTGACTGCAGGTCAGGGCTCACGAGCTCTCATGGCGATCATAGGCTGCCCCCTTTAGCAAGGTCCCAAGAGGTGAAAGTGATGGTTTGCGTACCACAGCTACTGCTACTTGGATTATTGTGCAGATTAAGTAGAGGGGGGAAGACATATTGGAGAATGAATTTTAAGCCAGGGCTTAAAGTTAGAAGGGTGAAGGTAGAGCAGAGCAGAATTAGGTGCAGCAGAAGTTCTCATGCTTGGGATAAGGAGAATCTCCCCGGAGAATCAAAATCACCCAGAAGGGAACAGATCATGTGGTCCACTGGTTCCAACAAGTGAGATGTGTCACCTGGCATCATGCCCTTCAGGAACAACAGAATCTTAGTGGGCTGTGCTCTGTGTCCCCCTTCTCCCCCCCC